AATGTTCTGCATTTCTCTTTTGAGCTGTGCACGCTGAAGATGACCAGTAGAATGAAGCATAGCAGGTGTTTAATCAATGGGATTTAACTCATTTAACTTACGATTCGTTATTCATACAACATAACGTTAATATTACGACTTATAGGCTATCTGCACAAAATGCCTCGAGTGCACAAGAACTGTGCGGCTCTGAATGAACTCTTTTTGTGGACGCGTTCTTCACGCAACAACGTGCAACAACACGGCAACTAAAATTCACAGTATAGTGTTCTCATTATAATGTTATAAATATGACAGTCCCAGTCATAGTTATTAATGTTCTGCATTGTTGTTTGTCCTGCACGCGCTGCGCGCTGAAGAGATAATCACCGTAGTAATACAATGAAGCGCTTTACTGCAGCGTAACTCAACTAAATGCATCTTATACGAGATAAATGATATATGCACGATATACAAACCAGATTCCAAAAAAGTTGGGACACTGTACAAATTGTGAATAAAAACAGAATGCAATGATGTGGAAGTTTCAAATTTCAATATTTTATTCAGAATACAACATAGATGACATATCAAATGTTTAAACTGAGAAAATGTATCATTTTAAGGGAAAAATGGACACGACATCAACAGTATGTGAGGGGCGTAACATTTCCATCTCACGCTTGAGGTATTCAGCCGATATATTCGAACGCATTGGATAGCTGGCCAATCACAGCACACCTCGCTTTTTCAGACCGATGAGCTTTGTAAAAATCGACGCGTTTCAAAAAGGCGGGGCATAGAGGAGAAACAATAATGTACAGTATGTGGAAAATAATGTGTTTTTTTTACTTTAAACCGCATAAACACATTTCATTACACCAAATACACAAAATAATGTTCTTTTTAGCAGCATCATATGACCCCTTTAAATCCATAGGGGTGGTTAGATTTATTCACGCACGTTAAAATATTTATTTAAAGCTTCTTTCTTTTCAGAATCTTATTTACAGCATTATCATAATAGGCTGTATATTAACTTATTGGGAGAAAACCGGTAGTTCTATGTCAAATCAGACATTTGAGCACCCCTTTATAGCCAAAATGGCATGATCATAACACCTCAGTGAATATTCGACTGTGAGATTGGTAGTCGAATCAGGCTCCTCCTATCGAAGCATTGAATCTTCGACTATTCGGGGTCACCCCTAGCAGGTTACATTCCTGATCAGCCAAGGGGTTAAATGTAAATTGCTGTTTAGGCAACTTGATTTCAATCAAGCTCTTTCATAGGACAACAGTGTGTGTGTTATAAAGAAAAAGAAACAAAGCACATTGACAATCATATTAGATTTAATTTTACAGGTAAAAAAAATAAAAATAAATTAAAAGAAGCCTGAGCTTGCAGTAATTGTTTCATAAATCTGTGCTGAGCATTATGTCGTTTTACACTATATAACAGTATATTCATACAGCCCCACTAACATACAGAAATAAATAGAACAAATATATTTCAGATATTTCTTTCTTTCTGTCAACACGCAAAACTGAACAGACAGAGGAAACAGTGGGTAAGACCCTTACAGACAGGCATAGATGAGACATTCAAAGACTACCACAATGCTACAACAGCAAGCTGTCGGTAAAGGACTCCAGTTTGATGGCAAATTTGGAAAGGAAGAGCTAATTACAGTCTGCCGTAACAATGTTAACGCCAGCATGTCTTTAAACGCAAGACACCCCACTGGATGAAGAATAAAAGCAAACACAAATAACTAATTATGCCATCATCTTCTCGCTCGTCGCTGGCACTCATTAATTGGTGACCTGCACTATTGGTCAGTAGACAATCGGCATGATGATGAAGCCAATTAGAGACAGAGAGTACACATGCCCCACAGAGCTTGTTATGGCTGCCACATCATGTCTCATCTAAATCAAAACAAATGCTAGGCAAATGTTGGCGTGCCAGCTGCGCCAGGCACAGACATGGGACATTAGAGCACGGCCAACTTTCTCCCTCTCACTACAATAGCAGTTATTGTAGAGAGGACAGAAGCCTTACAGCATTACAGCAGAGTCTGTTTCATCTGCTCAAGTGTCTGACAGTGGGCAGGCCAGAGATATTCTTGTCCTTTTACTGTAGACTTTCAGACTTTAGAAACTTTAACACTTTACAATCAGGTTTAACTTCTAAACATAAGTGATTGTATTAGGTACAATGAATTTACTAATCTAAGTTAACATTAATTTCTATATTTGTTAACATTAAAGACATTAACAAACTAACAATAAAAACACTTATAAAGCATTTGTTAATCTTAATTTCAACATTTACTAATATTATAGAAAATTATACATACTAATAAAATAAATGCATAAACTTGTACCAAAGTTGTATTTCAAGTTTGATAAATGAATATTAATTGAAACATGAAACATGAATTAACTATAAACAACAGTATATTTATAAATTAACATTAACCTTGAATGATAAATGCTGTACAAGTCATTTTAGTTCATGAGGTAGTTCACTGAATGTTAATGAACTGAACTTAATTGTAAAGTTAACTGAAATGTAACTCACAATGTGGAAAATTGTCTCGCTTCACAATATTGAACATATTATACAAACATAAAGGCATAAAAATACAGTTATATAAAAAAAAAGAATAATACAAATATACATAAGCGTGACATGTTAGCAGTACTGGGGGGTAATGGATTACATGTAATCTGGATTACATAATCAGATTACAAAAAATAAGTACTTGTAATTAGAGTACATTGCATTTAAAAAGCGCATAATCAGATTACAGTTACATATTTATGGATTGCATGATTACATATGGCAGTAAATCATTCATAATTTGATTCTCCCTAATTCTTTTTTTTTTTCTCTTTTAAATTATCCTTTCTAAAAATCCTACTGTATCATACCTTTGACTATTTTCACAAATGTTGTGCAAATAAATTTGCAAACCATGCTTCTGAGTTTGAGGGAAAATAGCACCTCTCAAGCAATTAGACCATGCATGAAACAAACAATGATGCAAGCTTTTTGTCAGCCAAACCCTTAAAAATATTTAGCCTACTTAAAATTTCTTTCTTTCTTTCTTTCTTTCTTTCTTTCATGAATGTGGTAAATTTATGGTAACTTTAAAACATGTTTGATAAAAACTAATCTAAAAAGTACTAAGAATACATTACCTAAAACAAGTAACCTAGATTACGTTACTAACTACAGTTTTCATCATGTAATCTGTAATGGACTACAATTTGTAAGTAATCTACCCAGCTCTGCATGTTAGGAATGATTTGTAATATGTTTAGATGTTCATGGGTCTAGATACAGAAAAAAATAAAACATGATGCACTGGTTAAAATGCAAATTTGCATGTTTATGTAGACCAAAACGTTAAAACAGCGCAGACACGTTTTGTGTGAACATCCTCTAAATCTACCTCAGACAGAGTGACAAACTCAATTACAAAATGGATCACGGTTGACTGTAGGCCAAAATAAAACAAACTATTGTCGTCTAATGCCCTTTTTATGTAATGCCTATTCAATACTGCACTCATCTGCCCCAAAAATGGGAAAACGTCAGGTTTGCATTATACAATTACCATGTTTAAAAACAGAACACATGGTAAAAGATTAACACGGTTTCTAAAATGTCCTGGATTACTTCGTGTAAACTTTTGGATTAGACGCAAACTCTGCATAACCTAAAACGACAAAATCCATAAACACTGTGTTGGTTTCCAGATATTTAAACCAGTGGACTATTTCAACAGCATGCCCACTCAGAATTAAATGCTGGAACTGCTCAATGGTTGTGCTTAAAATGGATCTACTGTGTCATTACGTTACAGTTTTATTGGAAATTGTTTTACTTGCTTCACATGTGATCATTTATTCATCTCCATCACTCTCAAAATGGCATGTCCTGAAATGTCTTATCTTATTTGAGTGGACAGGATGCACAACACTTTATATTCCATTCTCCAATCAGCTTTTTCTCATTTTCCAACCAACAAAATACCCTTCAAACTAAAAACATGCCTGAATGAGGTTAACTCAGTGCATGATTTTCACTTTTTCTGTCACTTTAATGCTGAAGCAAAATAAGTGACTTCAGCATCATGCAAACAAAATAAATACCAGCTTACTTTGTCTAAATGTTGACTGTGATAAATATTCTGTTCTTTTTAAACTCTGCATCAAATTATATGAGCATCCACATCCCTATTTGCTTCTCTAACTCTCGGGAAGTAGCGAATATAAAGACCTGGTTCGACCACAAGTTAAATATTTTATGACTGCACAATTACATGAAATCAAATCTTACTAAAGCCATTCCTCCATAAACTCTGCAGAGAATGGAGATGTGTTTGAAGACTAGGATTCGGCCTGCCTCCTTGAAACGCGAGCGAGAGAGAGAAATAATTGTGTGTGCTATGGATAATTAAGCGATGGTGACTGTCGTGAACGTGAGCTGTCACTCCGATCGAGAGCGCTGTCACGCCGAGCCAAGCAAGGCCGATCGGACAGGCGCCGTCCACTTTGATCTGGGCTCATGCATACAGAAAGAGATCAGGTCGTGGTCATTAAAAAGACCCTCCTCTAAACAGCCATGCGAGATTGAAAGGCCACGTCTTCAAAGACCTGCGTACAAGTAACCTCTTAAAATATTCTGACAATTTGCTACGAACAAACAATGGAAGCTAAGAAGGAGTGGGATGGATTAGTTTACGGTGCCTTAGCCTTTTAAGTTCTTATAGTCATCTGCACAGAAAGGGGAGGGTTACACAAATCATTTACAGGGTCAGGTTGTGTAGTTATTCGGCCAGATTACATAAGGTAAAGATGCTTAACCGGCTGCTGGGTTACATGCTAAACCACAGAGCATTTTAGGTATCTAAATCTGGGATACACAGTCAGTTATTTCAGATTATCTCAACTGTCTGTTGATCCTGTATGTGTCTTGGTCTTTCTAGTAAAATCAAAGCACTTACTTGGTCATTTTTCGGCTTGACCACCTTCATGAAAGCTCCACGTGCTTCGGCCTCTGACCGCTCCCACTGGGTCACTCTCCTGGTGTCCAGGAACTTCAGCTTTGTCAGCTTATGTAACACAAAGTACCTACAGATTGAGAAAAAAAATTAAAATACAAAGCAGATTTAACTATTCAGCCAGTATGCCAGATCACAGGTTACAAAAGTAACATTTTATGTTGTTTTGCTGCAGTTTTCATAATTTAGTTTTAATACTTTTGAAAATACATTAAAACAGTTAAATAAATATATAAATAAATAAATAAATAAAAATAAAACAACAACAACAACATTAGAAAACACCAAACCACATACAATGTCATAATGTGATATTTATTTATTTGTTTGTTTATTTTTTTATTTGTTTGTTACTTTGGAAGGAAGCAAATGTTCCTTATATAATCCAGAAATTGTAAATATCTTAAGATAATATTTCAGTAATTTGTTTTGCCTTTAGTATACTTAAATTTAGTTTTTTATAATATTATGCTCGCAGTAAAATGGGCCTGTACACATGAAAATAAGCTGCCTTTAAATTTTAGGAAGTGCGTATCTTGCATGGAAAAGAAAGAAAGACCGACAGACAGATCACAATAAATAAAAGTAAAATTTAATAATAAAAAACATGTAGGGATTAAAACATACTATTTAAATATTTAAAAATATTTAAAAATTAAAGTACAATGAGAAGATATAAAAAACAATCTAATACAAAATATTAACCAAATCTATACAAAATATAATATAAAAATTTATAATTTCTTAAAACTATAATTACAGAAGAAGTATTAAAACAATAATAATAAAATAGATCAAAATCCCCCATGACAGCAGTTTTAAATGACGAAGTGAACTCTAATTTAAATGAGAGTCTGAAAGTCAACCACATAAAACAAACCTTAAATGAACATTTCATTCGAAATGCATTAAATTAACCATAGCAATATTTGTAAATAGATAATTACCTTCAAAATATGTAAAATACGGACAACACATAAACAGATAAAAAGCCCACATTGACAGAATCTGCCAAGCTGTCATTTCTGTAGCTTCACAGATATCTCTTTACGCTTTCACACACTCTGTCTTTCATTCAGGGAGAGAAAATGACGTGAGATAATAGCAGGAATACATAGATGACAACAGATTCTTTCACAGGCTGACTGGAATGGAGGAAGAGGCATGTCAAGACTTCAAACAGAGAGTGAGATAGAAAGACAGAGAGACGGAGAGAGTGAGACAGACCGAGAGAGAGACACTAAGTGGAGGGTGTGAACAGATGTGTATATGGGCAGTGACAGATTTCCAACCGAGCTCTCGTGCAAAAGCCAGCAACAAACCCATGATGATGACAATGATGAAGGACGAAGGCGAACCCATGCTACGTGTTTATTGCTGATGGATCACAGAGAACACAACTGCAGATTGATCCTATTAAGATAAGCCTGAATTCAAAAACGTGCAGGGATGTGTTTTCCACCGCATCTATTCAGAGTTAAACTCCATTTGCATAAACACCCAAGTGTGTGTCTTGTGCACGTAAGCACCGTTTTTGCAAATTAGAATTTACAACAATATAGCAACAATATAGCAATCTAGATTTTCTACATATTCTGAAGAAAACACGAGTTTTACTTACGAGTCCATGCTGTGGTGCTTGCCAGGGTGTTGTTTTTTTTTTTATAAAAAAAATGTAAATGTATTTTTATTTGGGTCATGTATGAACCTGATATAAATTAATTACGTTTAATTCAAATTCTCAAAGCAATTACCAAATTGTATATTACTTTTTCTTTTCATTTTGCTCTCTAAACCTACCTAGAAATCAAATAATAATCATAATTATTTTATTCTAATCGACAGCACTTGTTTTTACACAGTAAGCAATGAAAAACAGGTTTGGTGAGGAAAAAAAAAACATAATTATTAATAATTAACACTAATTACATATATTTATACAAATAATTGACATATAACACACACACATGGATTCAATGATGAATAAAAAGTAAAAAAAAAAATAGATTTATCAATTTAACATTTTTGCAGAATAAAAGTATTAATTTCTTTAAGAAAAATAAAGAAAAAAAATTGAATAATAAATCAGCATATTAGAATGATTTCTGAAGGATCATGGGACACTAAAGACTGGAGTAATCACTGATGAAAATTCGGCTTTACATCACATGAATAAAATACATTTAAAATATATTAAAATAGAAAACAGCTATTTTAAATTGTAATAATATATCACAATATTATTTGCATTTTTGATCAAATAAATGCTGCCTTGGTGAGCATAAGAGACCTCTTTCAAAAATATTAAAAATCTTGCTAATCCCAAACTTGTATGATGTGTGTGTGTGTATAGAGAGAGGGGAATATTTAAGAGTTATTTTGTTTAAATCCCTAACCTTAACTATGTGCAGCAGTAAGAGGCATACTTGTCTTAGCAAAACAACTATTAACTTTATGTAACAAATTCCTCTGGAGTGACTGGGAGCAGTGTGGTGTGGGTACGCTTTGTTTACTGTTATGATTCAATTACAAACAAACATAATAACAGCGACTGTTAGCGGGAAATATGCAGGTGTTTTCCTGATGATTGTGAAATTGTTTGTGCTGATCTAACAGATGGTTGGAGCAGCTCTGCAGCAAGTGTTGTTTAAAGCACCCCAGGCAAAACTGGCCCTTAACTTTCTGATCTTCAGCAAACACAGATATTTAAGCCCACACACACGTCATGATGTCAAGAGACAAACATGCAATCACAGACAGCATGGGCTGGAGAGCATTCCAGAGAGACAGGACACACATCCTTTACCGCAGATGGCTGTCGCTGTATCGAGCGCTGTACTTCTTCAGCTAAAGGGAGGGGGGAAAAAAACCTCCTCGAGCCCCAGAAGTAAACAATGATGAATGAGCCGAGCGACTGCTGTAAAATACAGCCGAGTGTACTTACGCCTGTTCATTTCATTTGACTAATTGAAAGAGCGCAAAGAGGCGAGCTATATTTCACCGCATTATGAAGCAGGTCGCATTTTTTATTTTTTGTTCTTAGGGTACAGTCTGAGAAGTGCATAGCCCAAGGCCAGTCCTGCTATGACCTGAGAGCTCGCCTAACCCTGTCAGACATAAAATCTGCATTATGCTCAAATTGATGTATTACTATGTGACACATTATGAATATTACATCAAAAACACAGAGCTGCTGTCAGTCAGGGAAAGAATGGTCGTCCTCTACACCAAGTGAAGCATGGGAGACATTGCGCGAGAGTGGCGTCTATTGGGTTCATCTGTATAGTAAATGATTCATACTGAACAGTGTCAAGAAAAATGCACTTAGGTCTAAGGTAGACAAAGAATGTGTTTCTCCCTCCCTTCTTCCCACCGCTGGGTTTCATGTTGAAAACCTGACAAATGGTGGTAACATAGCGTGGCATTGCACTCCCATAGGCCTGGGCTTGATAATGAATGCATCGTTTCATCTTGTAGGAAAGGATAGCAAACACTCATTTGTGGTTATCACAATTCACACATGAAATCGATTTTGCAAGTCTACGAAAAGAAAAAAAGGAGGTGAGTAGCTTTAAGAGGAGTGTGGTTATAGCCTAAAGTATCAGTCTTTGCTTGTGCAATGTGATTTATGGTGTTGTGCAACAGCCGTTCATCCAAATAAAAGATTACTGAAAGTTGCCAAACGACACACTCCTGGGGTATTTAAATGTTTTACCAGAAGAAATAAAAACATATCAAAACAAATATTCATGATTGCCTAAAAAATTGCCTTCATTGCTTTAGGATACCAGAGATTTCATATACAGTGAGGCCCAAAGGTCTGAGACCATTAGTGAAAATATATTTGTTTGAATTGGAGGGGAAAAACAAACTAAAAAAAAAGAAAAAGAAAAAAAATCCCCAAACTTTTACAGTAAATGGTGGGACACAGACACGTATCAAAAGTTTTTTTTTCTTTCTTTCTTTCTCTTTCTTTCTTTCTTTCTTTCTTTCTTTATTTATTTAGTTTTGAATCATTATATTATTTAAATATCACAATTTAAAATAATTGCTTTCTATTTTGAATATATTTTATTTTTATTCCTGTGATGGCAAAGTTGAATTTTCAGCATCATTACTGCAGTCTTCTCTCACACATGATCCTTCAGAAATCATTCTAATATGCTGATATGGTGGTGGAAACATGTCTTATTATTATCAATGTTGATAATAATAAGGTAAACAGTATCTTAATATTTCTGTGGAAATCACAATATTTTTTTTTTTCAGGATTCTTTGATGAACAGAAAATTCAAAACAACAGTTGTAACTTATAAATGTCTTACCTGTTATAACATTTTGATCAATTTAATGCATTCTTGCTAAAATAATATTTTTGGATACCCCTGTATGGTACAGACTTCACAGAAACAAATGTCTCAAATTCAAAACCACTTTGTACTGTGCATGTTCATCAGTGTAGACAGTGTTCTGACCTGTATCTCTGATAGTCGTCTTCATCTTTATCCATGCTGACCAGTTGGTTGGGACAGGCCTCATTTCCCAGAAGGCTCAGGTATTCCAGCGCTGGCGTCACTTCCGCCAAATGCTCCAACAGGGCCTCGATGTCGGTGAAGTGTCACGGGGCAGAGGTCAAGGAATCCAGGCTGTTAATTACATTAGCATTTACTCTGTGCTCTCCACTGGCCTGGCCAGCCAGAAGAACTCTGTCCGAAACCCTCGGAAAGAGCTCAAAAGCAATTGTGCTTGAGAATACAAAGAGTGGATAAATTTAAGGGTGAGATTTTGGCATTTGCTGCAAGTTTGGCTGTTCTCTTCTCCTGTTCCTCTTCCCATTTCCTGGGTGGCTTGGTGCAGAACATTAAAAACATTGACAAAATGATGGATGCCTTTTGGTAAAAACAGTTAGTGACTCCCTAAGCCATGGACACCCCCTCCCCTTCACCCAGCACAGGGAAACAAACAGCCACTTCACAGCAAATTCATCACTAATACATTCACGTCATTGGAAAATGGTGCCCGAAACGTGTCAAAATACAACCACACTAATGCAGCACTTGAATTTCAATGGCAGCAGGCCACTACAGGATGTAAATAATTGGCCCATTAGCATGTGCAGACCACTTCACAGCAGAATTTGGGTCTGAGCTGCTGACACTCTGTCGGAGGAGAGCTGTTTGGAGAACAGAGGGTGAGGCTGCGTCATTATTATGTAGATGGATAGCATCCAGTGACAAACAGCAGAGCATAAATTTTCGTCAGGCTAGCACATTTACTTTTGCCATTTACTTCTCTTTGCGTCTCATCACACAAACTAAATGTAACGTGTCGCAGTGATGTAATTGCCGAATGTCAACAGACGGAAACCTGAAATTTCCAGTCCGGTTTAAAAGATTTACTTTTGGCGTGGGGTGGCTGGTACGTTAGCTTATTAAACAGCTAACACTACACTGGGAAATGTATAAGTTCAAATATTGGTTAATAAACTCTGTTTGCTCTGCTTTCTGGTCATGAGGCCCATACTGGAACTACGATACGGGTCACCATATGATACGATCTGTTTCTAAGAAGGACGTCTAACAGAGCTTTATCCTTCAGTCATGGGACAGTACCGTTTTTTTTTTCTTTTTTTTTTCGCCTCTCCTCCACTAGAGGTCACTATGGCACAAACTCAAGTGAGTTTATAAAGCAAGCCCATTAGACAGGAGCTAAATTTAACACAATAACATCATTTAAAGAGACCCAGTGTGGCAAAAGGAGATCCTGCACTGCATTGCAAAGAAACTCGCAGCATATCCTGTCATTTTGGTCAAGCATGAGAGCTGAAAAGCAAAGGATATTTGGTTCTTATTGAGTGTCAGGGTATGGAGCCGTGGTAACCTGGGCAACCGGAGGTCATTTCCGAGAAGATTGTTGTCCACAATCAGCTCTTCCAGTTGGCTGAACGCTTTCAGGCCTGTCAGTGACCTGCAATGATAAGTCAAGAGAGGAAAAATGATATGGCCCTAAATCTGGGCAGCCATTATGTGCAGAAATAAATATTTCAGGCGGGCCCTTTCACGGGCCGGAATAGTTTGGGCTTGGGAATGTCAGGAGAGTGAATGATAAGAATTAGTGGCGCTAAGATCCCCTGGCATGGTGCGGCATCCTTCACACGCTGGCAGCGTGAGTGATGAGGGTCACTCGTGAGTAGCCAGGATTCAAAACAAAAGGGCTTCAGAAATGCAGTGTGCGGGATGAATTTGTCAATGTCTTGTGCCTTCAGGCACCCAGCTTTGCCTGACCCTAACACTCCATTCCCAAGATAAATAACTCTGTCACAGTTCACCTTCACTCCCCCAACACAAATTTAACTCGTCATCCATCATTTTCCCAGCACAGCTATAATGCCTAGCCACAAACGGAATGAGTACAACTTCTGCAACTTCTGCGATGAGCCGCTTGCTGTTAAAAACAACTGCCTTACGGGGGAAAAGTTTGACAGTTCTCCCTTTATTCCCCATCGTGACACCCAATCCCCCACAGGCGCGCAGGCACGCCGTCCCCAAGGACTTTCCCTCCGTCTGGGTCTCTTCCCCGCCCTGCGCTGGCATAAACATGATGGAGGGTGGTGCTCAGGGTAATGTCGGGCCTTCCAAAGTTCATGGCGTGGAAGGTGCATAAAAGCCGGGGTGTGTGTTTCTAATCCCTCAAATGGCAGAGGCTGACAACCTACAATGTTAATGTGTCCACCCTTGGTTAATTGACATTTAGGTCTGTCAGCCTCCTCGAGCAAAGAACAATTAGATGGCTACTAGATGCTAGTCTTCGCCGCTCTTGGGGTGAAACGGAAAAATAACACCTGCATGTCATAAACTTATGGATTTTGTTGTCGTGAGACCTTTTGTGGTACAGTAGCATGGAAAATCCCAAGGCAATCTGGAAGGAGCTCACAGGAGTAAATGTTGATATCTAGCCAGGCGAAGTCTGTCTTTGGAAGACACCCAACTATTGTAGCAACGAACAAATCGGTCCTGCTGTCAGTGTCATAAAACTCTCTGTTGTGTTATGCAAATACCTCGCTCTTATCGTGTAGAACACGGCTGATGAAATTTTATGGGCTTTACAAGAGGAAGAAAGCAAACATATAGAAGCAGACGGCCAAGAACTCCAACCGCAAGAGAAATACGTTCTATTTGTATTGTCAAATTGTGCAAAATTCTGAGAAATGTCCCTGCTCGATAAATGAAAGCTGTTCTGTGAGCCCCCCCACCTGTTTGCCTCAGCTGTTTCTGGGCGGGTGTAATGTTATTAGCTGCTTAGTTAAGAGGCATCCGTGCGTCGCAGGGGGGTTGCTTATTAATTGTTGTTTTCGTGTCACTACTGCTGTGTGCAAAAGGTGATTTAATCAGTTAAATTCACAGCCAAGGGAGCGGCCAAATCACATTCACAACAACAAACAGGGATTCAACCCTAATTTGCCCACAACACGTTGTGCCTAAACATTTGCACTGCTGTATTATATGCAACATCTGTACAGTGCAGAAGAGGAAAACTTTCAAAATGTGCCGCTAACTGAATGATTAATTGCCAAATGCTTTTAAAGAAACAGTTCACCCAAAAATGAACATTCTGTTATTTATTCACTCAAGTCCTGACTATGGAAGCCAAATTCTGCCTAAGAGTAAAAATAAAAAAATATATAACAGTGAGATTACAAGATAGATTAAACAAAATAAAATACAGAAAAAATTGCTTCAACTGATAAAAGTGGTGCAAAAAAGATTCTAAGACATATGAAAAGTATAGGATATGAAGTTGGAGAAATGGCTTCTATATATTTTAAACCCCATATCTTGCTATTTTGTCCATGGAATGCAAAGAGAGAAATGTTAAAGAATCTTTATGCAGCTCGTTTTCACAGTTCACAGTTCATATTCTATATTATATTTGGTTTTTATTCACAGATAATCTTGCATGTTCAATTTACCATGCAACATTTGGCTACGTCACACTTTAAAACACCTAGAATATAGAGCACATGGTGCACTACTTTTAATGACACCAATTTGTAATGTATGCTTCTTGCATCTTGACTACTATGTACTTGCATCAAAAAGTACAATGTACTTAATGTGTTCATATTGTATAGCAAAACACTTTTGCTGCTATTGAGGTGGGATATGGGTGAGGTTAGGGACATGTTTGGAGGTATGGGCAGGTTTAAAAGTGGGTTAAGGTGTAAGGGAAGGGTCAACGGTGTAATTATAAATGTAATTACAGAAATTAATTACAGATGTAATTACATGCACATATTTTTAAAATATAATTACAATGTAAAACCATGTATGTTCACATTAAGTGCATTGTATCAAATGATTCATTTAAATGTAAGTAGTTAAGGCCACCTAATATAAAGCGGGACCTTTTTTTAATAAAGTTTGCTTACCATGTTCATTTTGTTGTATGACACTTGCTTCAGACAATAAAAAAACAACTTTAGGGTGAGTAAATCCTGAACATGCACTTGCAAAACTAAAAAAACGTCAATACACAAGCAATCTAAAACTCAATCACACACAAACACTTTCAGGTAGGAACCTCTCCGACTCACACCTCGTCCCCGTGGGGAATCCAAAACTGACTGCGCATTTTCACCACCATCTTCAAAGTCACACCACAATGACAGAATAGCACAACGCAGGGAGCGCCGTCTGATCTAAGGCGAGAAGGAGAGAGATGGACGGGAAGACACGAGAGAAGGAAAGAGAAATAGATTTAACGAGCCACGCCAATGAACCCACTCCTTGTTAAGATAATTATGATCAAGCTCATTGTCACAGTAAATATCTCAACGTGTTTGCCAGTGCGGCGTGTCTGCCTCTCTCTGCCTGAGTTAGCACACAGCTCACAAAACAGGAGATTTAGCTGCTAAACAACATACTGCGCTGGAAAAAACACATGATTACACAGGATAAATAAGGCGACCAAATGACCATGATACAAATTAAATACAGGTCAGAGATGGCTTGGTGGATAATGTGGGCACTCTAATGTGGTGGCGACACACGAGTGCTTTACAACGTTTACATTCAAAAAAGACAAAAAACATTTTTAGATTAAAATAGCTTGGATAAATCTGATCTTTGGGCACATCAAGCATATTATTTGGACGATTGATCAACAAACAGGGTCCACAATTGAAACTCACCTAGCACAAAGTGTGCAGTTGAGTAAATAAAATGTAGTATGGAACTTCATAATGAAACGCAACACAATACACGTTTTAAGAAATAACTGTAAGAATGATAGTCTGAACCTACGTGATATAAACGATCAAATCTAGTGACAGATGTTTTTGTTACCTCTGTAAAAAAATGTACCATCAAAACTTTATCTAGGATGTTTTTTTTTTCATTACTCCACGTGGCGACACATTTGTGGAAATATTCCCCTCATTAAACCACCAACATGAAAACGAGGAACAAAATCACGGTGTGTCTTCACGTTTTTGTGACAGGTGTAGTTTTACAGAGATACTCGACACTCGTATACACTAGCTCGTATATGATGCAGCTAATTATTGGGACAAACAGCATCTTGATGGTAACTATTGCTCGTAAAATCGGGATGTCTCGTAATCCAATTGTTAAACATTTACATTTACATTTAGTCATTTAGCAGACGCTTTTATCCAAAGCGACTTACAATTGGGGGATACATAAACGATTCTTCTTAAAGAGGCAAACAGACACAGGAAGTGGTTGTAATACCAAGTTCTTAGACATTGTTCAAATAAGTACAAGCTAGAAAGAGAAGGAATAAATAAAGAGAGAGAATTTTTTTTTTTTATGATGAAGTCAAGTAGCTTCGAAAGAGATGGGTGCAAACCTGCAAGATCGAGCGGTCTTTGCAATGTGGTCTTTGAAGGTCAGCTGGTTATCAAAAGATAAAGATAAACATAACGCCTAATGGAATGAGGAGGAGAAATACTGACAGAGAAAGTTGATAGAAGGTCAAACAATTACATTACTACCAAAGGTTACTTTAAAAAGATCCCGTGTAGATGGTGACAGTTTGCTGACATGCGAAACAAGCACTAACTGAGAACATCTAATTCCACGCCTCCTCAAAAGGCCACCATGTAAATGCTGTTAAGCAACCTTTCAAAGCCAGGGCCTGTAAAACAAATTACTATGCAGACTATCCTCAAAAGAAGCCAAACAAGAGGACAAGAGCTCAGACAATGACACAGAGATGGCTTGACAGAGATGGATGGATCGATAGACAAATACTAATGCGGACATGCTGATTGATAAACTGCTGCTGACAACAGGGGAAAAAACACTCTGTGATTATTGGTTGAAATGTCAGTCACTGCAGCCATTAGTAAGCCAGCTTTCACAGGTCACATGTCCAGGGAGGGAGAGACAGAGAGAGAAAGAGAAAAGGAAAGACAAAAGGAAAGAGAATTCAGAGATACACCTGCCAAGTTAGCAAACAGTGCTAACCGCAACACAGCATTCATTCAAACACACTCACGCTGCCTTTGTATTCGGAGTCTGCGTTCCAGCAGTGATCCCATTTAGCAAAAGCCTCCTTCTGTATGATATTCCCAGCTTTGATATTTCCCTTTGCTATGGCCAGTAATTCCCTTGTTTGCTCGTCGGTTTTAAAAGGCCTTTCTCTTCTCTGCTTTCTTTTTTGAGTCCTCAGTGTGTCTGTTCTTGACAGAGCAGCTCTGATCATCCTTTGATATTAGTCTCTCTCATATCCTTGGCTCCACAGTGTCACCCATGTGTCTGGAGCCAAAACTGGGTCCCAGAACCGCCACGGGCGATCTAGGCCGTACATACTCACCAGCTGATCTGCAACCAGCACCACGGCTCGGTCTCAAAGAACGACTCTGGTTCGGTCAACAGCACATGGCTGCGGATCCCATTGTTTGGGGTCTTTTCCTGTGCGAGGATTGGAATCCGACTTTAGAC